TAATACTTCATGTACTTACCTGTAGCACTGCTCTTCCCATGCCAAATTGAGACTGCTTTTGTAGGCAGCAGGTTGTTAACCCTCATATTTTGCATGAAATGAGCTCAGCGTGCCTTCTGCAGACTGGGGAACTAAGATGTTGAGCAGCTTGTGACTGGCAGTGGAATCACCACCGTGCCACGGTTCTGCTGCCAGGCACAGCGCCGGGCGAGCGGGTCTGGGTTCCTTCGCTGCCTGCTCACTGCGGGTGCACGGTGGGTTTGTGTGCAACAGCTGACAGGCCTGTGTTCTCCCCACAGTACGTGGTGCCGTTTCTGCTCAACCAGGGCGGATCTCTCCTCTTCTACCTCACCTTAGCATCCGCAGGTTAGTTCTCCTTGCTTTCATGGAGCGGGTTGATTGGGATTTTGGGAGGATCAGTGCTATTGATTACTCTAGTGACTCAGCTAAAGGTCAAGCAGCTGCCTTGAAATAATCACCAATAAAACAAGTGCCTTACAATTTCTACAAGATTATCCATTTTAAACCGTTTGTGTTAAAACGGTTCCGTTTCAGATTTGTCCCTGGCAGTACCGCTCTGTAACTCCCTGGCTTTGATAGTCACGCTGGTGACTGGGAGGATTCTGGGAGAGGACATTGGTGGTAAAAGTAAGTTGCACTTAAAACATTTCCTCACATTGGCTCCTGCATCTATTTGCTGACTTAATAGCGTGGGCTACCCTCTGGTCTCCTGAAAAGTAGCAAATACCCACAGAAGGGCTTTAACTAGTTAAGTAGTCCTTCTTGCTACAGAACCTGAAAGGGAAGTGAAACAGACTTGTAAGCGGACAGGGCTGGTAAATTTGAAGCGAGAACTGGCTGATGTAAGCTAACAGAGTTTATAGCCCGGAGCCTTTACCTAACTAGATGTTTAACCATAAGAGAAGCACTAAATAATATGCCCACTGTGGAAAAGGAGCACCCCATCAGCCCCCAGATGTCAACACCCATCCTTCTTTCCTTCCCTCACATCCTGCATTACCCTCCTCAGAGAGTCAGAAAACAGCGGGAAGCTTAAAACCACCAGGATGTGGCACAACAGCTGTAGGAACACAGTAAAGCGTGTGTTGTGTGAGCCAGACGTACAGCATCAGCGACATTTTCTTAGAAACGTGCTTTGCCCAATGTACACGGGCAGCCTGAGCATCCAGACCCCTTCAGAGCTCCCCTGGTCCAGCCTGTGTCTGTCCAGACGCTTGCACTGCCCTATTTACCGTTAGCAGTGAGAAGATCTGACTGGTCTTGAACTGTCTAAGTTCCCAACATCTTATTTTCCGTTTCTGCAGGGGCTGTGGCCGGAATGCTGCTCACTGTCCTGGGAGTCACTCTCTGCGTAGCTGGTTCGTGAACGAGCCGCAGCAAGGAGCAGAGGAAGAGAACCTGTTCAAAGGTAACCCCCGGGGCTGAAGGGGGGGGCTTCTGGCTCGGCAGCAGACCCTCTGGCTCAGTTCCACCTGGGAAGCTGTATTTGGACACACGGACGTCACAAACATGGAAACGTGGGCTGTATTCCCCGAGCACCAGGGTGCAACAAGGCATGGTGGAAGGACGTCCTATTTAATGACCCGAGTTCAGGAATGTTTTGTCTGTGGGTGTTTCAAGGCAAGGATGATTGAATTGTCTTGTGCAGCACTGGAGGGGTGCTAAATGGTTAATAAATCCTTCAAAGGGAGCTTCTGGCCCCACGTGTTTTTTCTGTGGAAGGAATCTATTTAGGAACTCCCCCTTTTCGTGGCCAAGCTGCTCAGCTGCAGCTGTACCAGGTCACGCTGCAGAGCCCCTCACACCGAGGTCACCACGTGGCCTTTCTCCCCTGGAGTCTTGTAGGGTGCCTTTCTTCTCTAAGACAACAACAGGGCAGTTGGTCCCTAGGGAAGGAAGGGTGGTTTTCTTTTCAGTGAAGTTATCAGTCCAAGATACCAGATCACAGAAGGAAAAGTCCTCGTTACCCTTGTTAATTAACCAGAAACACTAGGGAGGGAAATACAATAAGCCTTGCACAAAGAGGGTTAGTTCAAGAGCTGTTTATTACTATGACTTTTCCTAAATCGGGCAGATGCTCCTAAAGCCAGCTAACAGAAACCAAATGTATATAGTTTTGTGAACAGGTTTGTTCCCAAACGTAATGAAAACATTACCCAAGCATTCCAAATCAGAGGGACAATGATTCAATGAAATCTCTCTTTATAAGCAGTATCTGACATAGAACAAACTTCCTGGCAGACCTTTTGTTGTCAAGGCGTGTATTCTGTTTGGCAATTCTTCCTTCCCAAGTTCAGATACAAACCAGCTTAATCAGAGTTCAGAAAAGCAGCAGCCATCTCCTCTGCCACATCATCACGCCATAAAGATGAAGAAAGGGGGAAGATCTTCATTATTTAGCAACATTGTGTAGCTGATTCGTTGCTCACTGGTACTCTGCTTCTCAAGCCTAGATGATGAGGGTGCTGGATTTTAGAAGAGTTTGTTAATTCATCAAAAAGCTTGACCAGCCTGTGGTGTTACAGCAAGCTAGGATTCAGGTGCTTCTGTTATCTGGAGCTGCGCACGTGGCCGTGTACCTCGCTGTCCCTCTGCTCCATCGCACGCCCTTCAGAGCTCTGATGCTAACGGCAACATCGTTGGGTACTTTCCATCCTCAGAGTCACTGGGGTCCCTTTTCCTTGCCACAGTTGTCTGTGGTTTGTCTGTAGTCCGTGCCTTTTTGCAGTGAGAAAGAAATGCAGTTATTAATGTAGCCCTTCACTATCACAGAAAGATTCTGGGACTGAATTCCTGGGTTCCATTTCCAGTCTTATCATGGCTTTGGTATGCAAACTCGGGCCTCTACCTTCAATTCAAAGGTAGTTTATTGAATGCCTAACGATTCTCTCCCGCCGCAGAGGGGAGCAGTGACACTCCCAACAGTAATGCCCCCGGAGCAGAGGGGAGCAGTGACACTCCAACCGTAGGCCCCTCGGAGCTGAGGGGAGCAGTGACACTCCAACAGTAGTGCTCCCGGAGCAGAGGGGAGCAGTGACACTCCAACAGTAGTGCCCCCGGAGCAGAGGGGAGCAGTGACACTCCAACAGTAGTGCCCCCGCAGCAGCCTGATCCAGGGGGGGGAGGCCAAGGGAAAGGAGCAGCACCCCAGCGCCCACCCCACTGAGAAACACTGGCCCAGCCTCTAAAGCAAACACAGCACACCAGGCTCCTCATCGAGCCAAGAAGTCAGGAGCCATTAGCTGACTCTTTGCTAGGGCTTTCTGTAATTTAAGTTCAAAGGACTCGTTCTCCTTTGAAGCCCTAATTAACCCAAAGAGACTGCCTAGGCAGAACCGTGCATCACCTACGATACAGTGCCTGTCATCCCACACACCAATCCCAAATGTCCTTATGAAATGTTTAAAGCATTAATATGCCACAGACAATAAGCATCTTGCAGACATTTTTCACACAGAATTTTGTTTCAAAAAGAACTGCTTTTTTTCCCTTTTTAAAAAAAAAAAAGTTTAAATTTGTTACTCTAATAAACATGTTCAGTCATTTTAGGGATTACACGTTTATTCCGTGCCAGCTCCTAAACTTCACCTGGCTACAGGCAAATTCTGCTTAACAAGTCATATCTGAGGGTACTGAATTTTGGTGTAAGAAATCTGAATGCATCCAGGAAGGCTCTTACACGCTTCATAGCGCCAGTAAGTGGCATGAATACCTCACTGCGCTGTATCATCTGCAACTCTCTGGAACAGGAGTAAGGATAGAAGTAGTACACACACACACACACAGAGAAAAAAGAAATCCAGGAAAGCCTTTGATATCCTTACTGCAGTGGGAAGCTGTAACTCTCACATTCCAGACAGGGGACGTTCATTACCCAGCTGACCAATGCAAAGCCCCGCAGTTACACACTGTCCTCTGGTTTCTGAAGTTCCCCCTGGTGGTTACTTTCCTCTTAACACAGCGAGAAGCGCAGCGCTTCGTCAGCCTGACGGATAGGACTTCAAACGAGTGAGAAACCCGAAGGACTTCCCCAAGCAATTGCTATAAACTACGGATGCATGTGTTCTCACGGGCTGGCTCTGAAGGGCTGGCTCTAGGAGGTGGCCTCCCTGCTGTGCAAAACCTGCAGCACCCACAGATTCTAGTGGGACCGTGGGTACATCCCTGCAGCAGTGAGACTCCCAGCAGGGCAGAAAATCAGTTCTCAGACCTGATCAATGGGTACATCCACCCCTGTGTGTTCATCCTCTTTTACATCCCGGGCACCTCGCATCTCCTTCCCAGGATCTCTGGTTTTATAGACGCTTTCTTCTGCGAGGAGAAGAAAAGAAACAAGCTGTTCCAAGGGTACTGCAGCCAGCCACGGCCTGGTCCTGCTGGGGCTGCAGAAAGGTCCTTGTATGTGCCCAGATGAGGAAAGAAGCAGAAATACAGAAGTTACCGGATGCATCACCGCTTTCTTTCAGCGCATCTGCAGGTATTTTGTCCTTTAGCATCAGAGTAAAGCCAGTCTCCCTCTACACTTACAGCAGCGTCCTTTACCTTGATCAGGCCAGTGCTGCGCATTCCTGTTGCTCCTTCTGTTTTGTCCTGCATGGACAGGTTTAGCCTGGAAAATGGACTCTTCCTCTTTGAGGTGAGATTTCCGGGCTTGCCTCTGCAGTTGTGGAGAAGCAGGTGGGATCTTGTCTTTCTCCACAGCTCCTGTGGTCTGCACGCCACGACTGGCCAGCTGAAAGTATTCATCACACACTTCCGATAGGCCTTCTTAATGAAATCATTTATAAAACAAGAGAAGTTTTGCAGGGCAATCCCCTAAACACTGCAGCTTTCCCCTGCGACCCTTGATCCTGACTCATACAAAGCTGTAGCGCCGCATTCTCTGACCAGGGTTTTAAGTTGATACTACAAGTGAAGCCGATACACGGAAAGCCTACAACACTTTTTGCGGTCACTACTACCTGTGGCAGTGGTTCAGCAAGAGCAGAGTCACCAGCTCTGGCCTGGGAGGTGGCACCAGACTGGAGTTCACCAAACTGTAAACAAAACAAAACAAAAAACAAAAATAAAAGGAAATTTGAAAAGCAAATAGCACAGACGCACATTTCAGTGGACAACCCAGGGCAGCCCAGCTGCTCTACCTGTAGTCTCTGTCGGGCATTTTACCCACACAGTGAGCAGGAAAGGTATCCTAGCTCCAGGATGAATTCTCCCTGCCCACCAGCCGAAATGGAGAAGAGGGAAGTGAGGCCACCTTAAGGAGTTTCTCCTTGAGGCAGGGAGATTTCATTCAAGTGTGAACTGGCCGGTAGCTGTCCCTGCTCCCCTCCTCCGGGAGTGGTGCCAGGCGAGGGTGCTGTATAGCCGTGGCAGCTGGGAACGGGGATTGCCGCCCACCTCTGCTGCTCAGGGAGGGGCGTCTGCACAAACGCTGCTGCGGTCGTAGCACAAACAGTCCCGCGCCAGCTGAGCCACTTACCCTTCTGCGGTGGTTTTTGCGGCTGCTTGGGTGGTTCCTGTAACAAAGCAGCAGCAGATTCCCGGCGTCAGGCAGAAGTCAACTGCAGGAGGACACGATCTCCCCTTTTCCCCATAAGGGAGAGCCCCTGCAGGCGTTTTTTCTCAGCGCAGGTGGAGCACGCTCCACAGCAGATCACATTCCCCTTCCTCAGTGCTTGATGAACACGTAATGGCGAAATAACCAAACTACTTGCTGTCTCTGGCACCAAACTCAGGATTTCAGGGGCTGACCCTTACACCGAAAGATTTGAAAACACCTTCTTTTTTCCTAAACTTCCAACACACGAAGCAAAACTCACGCCCTGAAGCAGACAGCACTAAACAGGAGGGCTACAAAAAGGATGGCTTTAGCTGAAGACCACCATGGAAAGGATTCTTTAAACCACTTGGCCGCAGTCTACGTACCACAGCGTCCTGCATGCAGACTTCTGGGGCACCAGCAGCTCAAAGTAAGGCAGTTTTTTGTACTCCTCTTTTCCCACTGCCACGTAGTAATTGCCATTCACCAGCTCTTCCCCACCAGACACCTGGGTTCCATCCAGCCTGCAGAGCCTGGAGGAAGAGACAGCAAAGGCTTTAGAGCTGTCACAAGTCCCTGAACAACCCCTCAGCGTTGAAACAAACATGTGCAAAGTGGTAAACGGGACCGAGACAAGGCAGAGAGGATCAATCCTTCTTAGTGTTACTCCGAGGAAGTACGCAGAAATATTACACCCGGTGATCAGTGAGATGCAGTAGATCTCAGCCTTCTCCTTGGGTGTCAGTAGAGAGATGTAGGAGAGATGGAGGAGGAGAAGGCAGGCTGTGCTTGTTCGATAAAAACCCCTCTAGACATAAACGCCTTTCTATGCCGTGCTTGTGGCTTTTTCACCAGACCACCAGCAACACCAGCCCTCCTCACATTGCACCCAGGACATTGGGGTTATCTCCGATTTAAAGATAGAAAAACCTGAAAAGCAAAGGAGTTTGCAAAAGCAGATTAGAAGTGGCGCTCTGAATTCCCAGCCTTCTGTGCTAATCAGAGCTGCTTGTGTTCTGGATGTAAGGAAAGAGCCTTATCTGGATACCTACTTGTTAACAGCTCCGCTGCGCAGGTCGGCTTTCTCTGTCAGGGTGGCCAGGAGTGCGTGCCACTGCAGGGGGGTGCTCCTGGAGAGCGGCAGTGGGAAGGGAGGGCTCAGCAAATCCCCATTCCGGAAAACACTGCGGTAGAAACAACCCAGAGCATGCGATAAGCCGGTATTCCTGCAGCTGTGGAAGATGGGGGGAAAAGCCAGCCACTGGTGCCTGGACAGTATTTACAACAAATCCTTCTGGTAGAAACTGGGAATTATCCCTGTGGGGCAATGCTCCCAGGATCTCACAGAGAAATTCCCTCCTCCAGCCTCCAAAAACACTCCCAGAGACCCTCCAAGGAGAAAACACCGACGCACTCACTGTATCGCGCAGGGCAGGTGGGCGTGCTTCTGCTGTCGCGCCAAGACGTTCGACTTCCAGGGAGCTACAGTGCGGAACTGGAGAGCGAGTTCAGTGCACAAGAACAGGGACAGCCCTGGCACCGAGCCTCCAGGGCTGTTCCCTTCACTCCACCAGGAGCTGCCTGCCCTGGGATGCTGCCTGCCCTGCCTTCAGGCTTGCTGCTGCCAGGTGGGGTTTGTTGTCAGCAACACCAAGCCTGGAGAGGCTCTTCGCACAGCTGAGCACCTTCCAGTGTTACCAGCGAACCTCCGAGCACAGGTCCTTCCCCTGCGCTGTTCAGGGGGACAAAGGGACACAGCAGCATCCCCTGCGCTGTCTCACACGTCCCACTGATTCCCGGGGCACTTTTGCCTGATCCCCCTGGGCACCTCGTAGCCTTAAATCTCAACTTTAGTTCCATCCGTGCCAGCCCTAACGTCTCTCGCAGCTCCCCGCTCATTCTGCGCTCCCTCCTGCCCCCTCTCAGCTCAGGGACTCACCTGCAGACCCTCGCTGTCCCTTGTCCCACGGAGCTGCTTCCTTCCCTGACGTAAATAGCTGTGAGAACAAGACAGCGACCTTTTCACACACCAACCGGGCCGCGGCAGTGAGGAAATGCCCGACTGCTCTGCCTCCACCAGGTGCATGGGTCACTTATTTGGGTCACTTCTGAAACGACTCTCCAGGTGCCTCATCTCCTGGTCTCCCAGAACTTCAGGCTAAATTAAAGGCTGCTACATTTAAGAAATTCCCAGCCAGCTACAGACCATTTCAGATCCCCACACTAAGGACACCCAGAAGATTTTCTTCCTTTGTGTTACTGACTGATGAAGGCTCCGAGGGCTGAGCGGTGCTCACGCAGCCTGGACCACCACAACAAAACACAATACACACCAGGGAGCCAAATTCACCTGGTGCCCACACACCCCCCCTCCTCAAGAGTCAAGCAATGCCATCGAAACTTTTTTAACCCTCTGTATTTCGGGATGAACCGAACCAGCTCTACTTTGTGCAGGATCAGAAAACAAAAAACCTTCATCAAACCGAAGCAAAAGCGTTTGTTGGTGGATACAGCGTGCCTGCCAAGGAAGGAGGCAGCAGAGCCTCCCACACACCACAAAACAAGGTGCGCGGGGGGCAGAGCAGCACCCATCACAACATCCTGCCGGAGAACGCGTGCATCCCCCAACGTTTTTTTGTCTGAGAGCCAAGGGAGCTCATCGCGAGTGTTTACAGCAGTTTCCAGTAGGAAAAGAAATTACCGTCTCTGTTTTTCGTTGGGTTTCTACCCCTCTTTTTCCCCTTCACACCCCAATAGATTCCCCCCAGAGGTGACCTACAGCTGCTTACCAAACCCCCAGACCACAGCTCCATCTACTCACTCCAGCTTTTTGAACTTTTCAAAGCCCGCAGCCACGTACTGGCGCCCATCCTGCAGGTCCCCCAGCTCAGCGACGCGGTGGCCGTGCCTGGGGGTGTAGAGGTTCCTCACCGCCAAGGGCGCGCGAATGCTCTTGGTCACCTCATTCAGAAACGCCTCGAAGGTCAGGAACCGCCGCTGGTTCACCACAAACTTCCTCCCGGGGAAGAAGGGGTCACCGTTGCGATACACCACCACGTTTTTGGCTGGAGGTGCCCGAGCTAAGCCACGGGAGCTCATCCCCCATGGGTCAAGCAAGCCCCGCTGACCACAGAGGTGAACAGACCGCGGGGAGCGGAGGAGAGCTCCGGCCAGCCTCCCGCCGAGCCCAAACCCTTCCGACCAGCTCTGCTGTCCCCTCCCAGCCCCGTCGGGCGCGACTGGCTGTCTCCATGGACGCAGGCCCAGCAGGAGGAAGTTGTGGGCCCGTCTGGAGGCCACATCCATCACCCTGCACAGCACCTCTCGATCTCAGGAGGAACCACAGAGCTCTTTAATCCCCAGACGCCAGCAGCGCTGTGAGCTCCCTCAGCAGCCGCCAGGCTGAGATTAACAAGCCTGGAGGTAAAGCAAGTGCCACACCTTTACGGCAGCAGCTCCCATCCCACCCAAAAGCTGTCCCCCTGCCTTGCCATCGCTTGCTACCTGCAGGAGCAGCACAACCAGTTTCTGTCCTGTGTGCACTGGACAAACAGCTGTTCCCCAGCAGACCCACCACCCTTCGCACGGGAAGGGGTCGAAGAGGGCTATGGAGAAGGTGGCGAGCTAGACAGGAATGGACAGCTTCAGAGACGAGCTTCAGGAAAGGTTTTTATTCACAAAGAAGTCGGCACCACGAGGAACAGAAAGATACCCCTGCCA